GCAACAACGAAATCGAATTTGATATTTAAGAGTAGTTGCATTAAATTAATTCAAAATATTGTTTAAATCAATTTTTATTTTGATTTTAATAAATTGGTATTGAACTTTCAAATCATCAATTCAGAATATTAATTCAATAATCAATTCAATTTTTATTCAAATTTATTTCAAATCATTAATTCAGAATATTAATCCAATAATCAATTTAATTGTTATTGTTATTTTTAATATTCATCATAAATCAATTCAGAAAGTTTGGTCAATCAATTATTTATTGATTTAGATCAACAAAATCAATAAAAATCTAATTTTTAGAATTAAAAATAATATAAATATTAAATATAAATTTAGATATTTCAGAAATTGTCCCCAAATGTAGAAAGTGGTTAAAATATCTGTTATGTGACTCGCAATGGGGCCAAGTTTAATGCTGCCTCCATTTATAGTTTTCGTTTATATAACTTGTTATAATGTGAAGTGATTAGACCGAGTAAGGTCGTTATTTGACCTAAGGTCGTATACAAGTGATTCACCTTCAAAAGTCCTCAAGTTAAGATGGGGTCTCTTGAGGTCTCAGCTGAGCGTCGGATGAAGGAATTGGAAACCCTTTTTCTCAGGGGTCCGTACAATTCCGCCAGTCTTAAAGAGAGTGCAGCATTCAGGTATACAATTTACAGTGGTCACGAAAAAGAAGTGGAACCTTTCTCGAATTCTCATCTTTCGAATGAAATTCGTTTAATTAGTCATATTTTTCAATCATAATATGTACTCATGATTCATGAACATTTGAGAAATATTTAAGTTAAAATAATTAAAAATAGCTTAATATAGTTGGTAAAGTTACATCGTCTATACGCAACATCACTATACTTAACTTCGGACCTACGCCAGCTGTTTATTTTTGTATTATTTGAGGGTTAGTTTAGGTTAAGACAATTTCTGGGCCGGGCGTTGCGGCTAGGACAAGCTGGGGGCCCGGCGCTTCGGTCACAAGTCCATCTAGTAGCAGTAAAATCACCTGCTAGTAGGTCTGATGTGTAGTATAGCGGATTCAGTGTATGTCAGAAGTGGCGTATAGCAGATTTGCGTAGGTCGAAAGATACACGGCACCATTAAATAGTATAAAAAAACGTACGTTTCTATGCTAATCTTACTTGGTGAATAGGTCAATATGGTTAAATGTTTCATCTCGAGAACAACTGTTTAAAGGCCTTTTTGCAAATCGCAATTGCACTTTTTGGTTTCGGTACTACTTAAAGTTACTTTTCGAATTTTATTCTACAGGGTTTCACAATAAACATGGGAATGATGTGACGGCTTTTATATTGTCTTCGATCCATGGGGTATTTATTTATAAACACAATCTGTACAGTATTCCAGTTTAAACATCTAATATCGAAAACGCCTGGTCTTGAGATTTTCAGAATGTGGTCTTCAATTTTTTGTTTCTTTAAAATTGAAAGAGTTATTGCAAAAATCAAAATTTTCATAATTTCTAATATCTTTGTCAATTTTAAGATTCAAGAAAAGTAGACCACTGTGAAAAGCTCTTCATAAGTGCAGCCTCGATTTTCGCTTAATTTGCCATGATATCAAATACGACGTTCAAGTCTTCTCTCAATTCCCATGTTTATTGGGACACCCTGTATAAAGGGTTGCATGTCATATAATTTCTTTTAGCATTTACTGTTGTACTTTTCTGAAAATATTGATCCTTGACCTTTTATATTGTTATCTAGCTACGTCTTATATTGTTATCTGGCTATGTCTTCTCTTTGAGGTTTTTTTACGATTCATGATTTATCTAGTGTTTACCTTAGACGAGGGCTGTATATTTTCTTGAAATCCCCCTTCCTTCTTTTTTCATTTTTTTTGTTTTCCCTAAAAATATTTTAGTAAACTTGTTTTAGGGTTTTATAATCTACTAGATTAAGTGTCCGGCTTTGCCCGTGGAATTTTTAAAAATCGAATTTTGAAACAAATAATTCGGTCCAGCCGTTTGGCCAGCTTAAGCTGACTTATAAATATATATATACACATACAAATATATTTATATATGAGCAATGAGCTTTAAAATATAGATAATGGGGAAAATAAATTATTTATAGGAATAAATAAATGAAGTTCTGGTAAAAGTATTTAAAAAAATTACCGTTTGACGAATACCTACCTGACTATTAGTCATCTGACCATAATCACCAATATTACCATTATAAAATCTAGTTGATAAAAAAGAACAAAAACTTTTTATAAATTTTGTTTATTTCCAATTCTTTAAAAGGTTTAAATAAATGAATATTATGAATATTCGCAAATTATCTTTTTCCCATCTCAGAATCTCAGTTCTTTTCCCTTATGTCCATTAGACAGCCAAATTTTTGTTTTTAAATCTTTTTGTTTGTTTATTTTCTTTTGGTTTTTACCATTTTTAAATTTATTAATCGATTTTGATGGTTATTACCGTTAGAACTGACGAGGGTCAACCCAGACCGAAATATATTTTCAATAAATGTGGAACTAACATCTACTTTTTTACTCTACAGAGGTTTGGTCCATCACCATCACCGAATTTTAAATATTTTTAATTGTTTTCAATATATCATATCAATCAATAATAATTATACTATGACTTGATTACACTGGAGACAGTCTTATTCAAAGCTGTTTAATAATACATAAATCTGTATTTTGTGGCGCTTTGTGAGAGAAAAGATGTCCCAAAACATTATTGATAAAAAAGGATCTCAAATTTCTCTATGTAAATATTCCCTAACCAATATATAGGCCTGGTGGCTGGTGTTTGCATCTACATTATACCATATTGATGATGAAGATTGTTCAAATCCAGGGGTTAAAGTAATAAAAATAAACAAATTTTAGGTACAACGTTATGAAAGCGCGTCTGAAAGACCGATATGGATATTAAAAACCCCGCGAAAAAAATTGTTAAAAAGATTTTGAGAAATTATAATAAAATGGACAAATTGTCAATTGATAAGAAAAAAATATATATGTAAGTTTAATATATTAGGGCCTGCCACTGGCTCAGGGGGGGGGTGGGGACAATAGAAAGCCGTGTCCGTGACATATTTCTATATATCCATCTAACTATTATTCTCAAGCTTTTTATTTATATTTCCAACCTTGTATTATTGATTAATAAAAGACTATAAGAAGAAACCGGCGCCATGGTATTTTTAATCTTCAAACGATTGTAAACTTTGAAGATAATATTTTTATTATAGTGTCGGATCCTTCAAAACAAAACGTCATTTTCAATTCAAATTTACCAGTGTTTTTTATGTGATTTTTTAACTCGTTTAAAAAAAATTTGTGTAAAAATTTAGTTTAAAAAAAATTTTTATTCAGTAATATATCTTTTCATTTTTCTACTGTTTTTGCGAGATTTTTTATTTCTTTTATCATCCTTTAGTTTTCCATGTTCAGAAATTTTCTTTTTCTTAGCCAAATCGTTGATTTCACACATAAGTCTGATATAAATATATATTATATATTTTATAGATTTTTTTTGGAGTGTGTGATTTTTATTGTAAAAAAACAAACTATAACCTATGAAAGAGTTAGCCTCTGTTAGCATGTATGTCAAAAAGTGAACATGAATTACAAAAAAATAAATTTAAAAACTTTCTTATTATTTCAGTGTTGAGACTCTGCTTGATATTCTGGTCGTCATTTATGACGAGTGCACATCTTCGTCTTTACGCAGAGAGAAAACAGTCTCGGACTTTCTGGAATACGGTAAGGACAAAGTTTAAAAATTGCGGTAATCTTTAGGTCTTTCCATAGATTGTTCCTAGCTGCAAGATGATAGCGTTTTTCTCAAGTATTGCATTATTGCTATCTTGATGAGCACATTTTTGTCGGATTTTTGCAAAAATTCACTGAAAATACTTGCAATTAGCTACGAAATACTTCAAATGTGAAAAATACAAAGGGATTGTTAGCTTTTTTTTCAAATGCGGAAGATACCATATTTTACGGAATTAGGGCTAGAATAAGCGAAAACTAGTCAGCGTTTTTGATTTTTGTGGATTTAAAAAAAAAGTAATTAAAAGTAAATGTTTCAAAAAAAACAAAAGGTCATTTGTTCAAATATTTAAACAATCCGTTCAAGAAAAACAAGGTTGACTAATCATTATAAGTTTACAAGGATGTAGGAGGTTAAAAAAAATGTGTGTAAGCTTTATTGGATTCTAGCTTAAGTGCCCGGCGTTGCCCGTGGAAATTTTTTTTAAGAACAAAATTTCTAATTGTGAAAAAAAAATCGAATTTCTTAAACCTATTTGGTCGAGCCGTTTGGCCAGCTATAGCTGACATATATATATATATA